AAGAAGAAGAAGGGGTACAGTCAACTGGGATACATGAATCAGATGTATGTCCTTGAGAGCATTTATCACTTGTGTCCTGAAACTTTCAGTCTACAGGCTACGTCCTAAATTCAGCTACACTCAAGTCAGCCTGACTACTTCCACTTCAGTATCATACAGGCCACAACTATGCAGGAGAACCCAAAGGATTGGAATAGAATCCAAGAAAATATGTGCATATTTTAATTATCTCATTCTGTTAACTCTTTCTTCTAACCATCCAACAGTTGGAGAAACCTGCAACAATTAATAAAAATGTTAAGATCCTTCGACCCCCCCAACCCCGTTTTACTGGAAAGAATGATGTGAAACCAAACACCAGGTGTCGAGTTGCAGGGTGCGGGAAGGATGACAATGGAGAATCATCAGACACTCTGAAAGAAGTTGAAGTCACTGTCATTGACAGAAAAATCTGCAATGATGAAAAACATTATAACTATACACCTGAGATTGGACCATATATGATTTGTGCTGGGAACCCCAAAGGTAAAATGGACTCATGTGAAGTAAGTAATGTAGCACCCCATGTTTTAGCTGTTGGATTTAGCCATGCAGGCATAGAGAGTGTAATATCATGCTTTATCTTGTCATGGCGTGTCTTCTATAGTTCTGGGGCTTTAGGGAAAAGGTTGACAAAACCCAAGTCAAATATATTCATATCTGCAGAACAGGTGAGTTCGTAAAAAAATAACAATTTTTCCTTCAGGTGCACTCTCTATTTTATATCAGAAACAACTAGAAGTGATTTTTTCCTCATTTCTCTTATTAATATATAGAGATCAAAATTTGCAAATACGGAGTGCTCAGAAGGGCTGAAATCAGGTTCTGCTAGAGCCTTCACTGTTCTTTTCCCATCTCAGCACCTCCCAACACTTCCTTTGCCATGTGATGGGAAGATTGCTTGTCATTCCCAGGTGCTGGGCTAGATCCCATCGCTTTATAGAGCCAAACTTAATCCCAGGAGACAACTTCCAAGCCTGGCTATTCCAGAGAGCCTGAACACCCTCACACCAGAGACCCCTGAGAGGGAGGGCAGGACCCTACTTAAGATGAGAGTAGAAGAGACACTCCTCGTTTCTAAGCTCTGAGTACTGGCTTTGGTCCTTTGTCAAAAACACGTTAGAGTCTTCTCTAAAAAACATACAGTGTGTCCATCTTCGGAGTCATTAGAAATAAGAGGACCAGAGGCCACTGCTTTCACCAGGAGCTTGTCTCCAAACTTTAGCAGAATTTTAATGATTTTTTTCAGTAGGAAAGACAGACAAATCCCAGGAAAAGTTGGCATTTGTCTTCAGTACCCTTCCACTTTCTCTACTTTTCCCTCCCTCATCTGTTTCTACCCCTTAATCACCACTCTTCATGAGGGATTCAGAGGATGAGGTTCAGTGAATGCGGTACTTGATTTTTCTCTGAGAAAAGTTTTGGTTGAATTTCCCATTCAGCACCACACAGCAAGTTTCACTAAAGATAAAGGCATAGACAGGAACAGTCAAAGGCTGCATTTTAGAAGGATAGGGTTATTAAAGAAAAGAGAAAAGGAGGAAGTGTCTGCCTGCATAGACACAGGTGGGCAGTCTTAGGACACAACTTGCCCTTTGCCAGGTCAAGAGGTCAAAAGTAGTTTTATATAGTGTTCCATGAGGTTTTGGGAAGTGGTAGGAGGTGGACAGTATTTATTCCTTTGTGGAATTTAGTTATCACTTCTAAGTTCTGATTGGGTTAATTTGCAAGGACTGGTGTTTCTTTGTAATAACTAACAAGTCTCCATATCTGCACCTCTGGTCTGCGCCTTCAGATTTCTATAGCCAATTTAGTAATGCTTTAATAATCTCTAACCCCACCTCTTGTTTCTTCCTTGTGAAGCTTCTATCATAAATTTTCTATTCTAAGCTTCCATCGTGAGCATCCAGGGACCCCAACACTCAGGCCTCTGCAGCCCAAATGCAACATCCCAAGGCCTCCACAGCAGGCCAAGATGTCTAGCCCTTCCCCACCATCCCCCCTTACCATCCAAACCTAGCGACCTTTCCCATTCTCTCAATGACCAAGATTCCTCAGAATTAGCTCATGAGGAAATTAGACTTAAGGACTAATTCTGAAAAGGTCAGGCACTGTTTTAGACAGGAGAAGGAAACACACCTGCCCGAGCAGGCCCAGGGTTCTCACATGGCCCTTGAGTTCATACACATGTAAGGCCCACTTCTGCTGTGAAGGGAGCTCCCCACAGCCCTCATGTCCCTGGGAGCAGGTTGGTGGGCAGATTCGCACTGCACAGCTCTGCACACAGGCCTCAACGGGCCTCCCTCCGGACCTCCCTCCAGCTCTACCCGCCTTCCCCAAAGCCCTGGCACTGAAGGACCAGGCAAGACTCCAGTTCTCAGAGACAATGGAACATGCAATTCCAGAGTTCCCTAAGGGAATACCAGGTCAAACATTAGGTGACACCTTCTAGGAGAAAAAGGCAGCAATTAACAGTTAACTGAAGCCGCTCTGCTGTGGAGTCAGATCTGATGTGTAGCTTTGATTTCTGGGTGTTTCCTTGTAGCATCAGCTGCTCAAAGGAGACTTAGGCACAAGATGCTGTCTATTGGAGATGTGAAAGCAAAGTTTGCATTGGTTCTGGGTCTTTAGACAGATGCTGCAGATGCTTGAAAATAGTTTTTCCTCTTTGCCTGTTTCCCCACTGCCTTTGACCATTTTACCCTTTGAGTTACTAAGCATTGGAGATATGACAAACAGGAGGGACAACTTTTCAAAATAGAAAATCAATAACAAAAGCAGTGGCTAATACAAACAATACATATTTTATTTCTATTTTATATGAATCAAATTTATTCCCAAACTTTTATCCCAAAACTATTCTGTTTTTTAAGCAGTAAATTGTACTTAGTCAAGGTGTCTACTAATTTTCAACTAAGTTGTAACTCCACATTTAGTGAAATTTCTGCCGCTCTGCTAAGGGCCATGTTCCATGCTAATTCCCCATCACTCCTCTTGTCCTCACAGGGAGACTCTGGCAGTCCTTTGATATGTAACAAGATTCTCAGAGGCATCACTTCCTTTGGCCGCCCAGGGAAATGTGGAGATCCTCACTCACCTGGCGTCTATACACTTCTCGCTGAAAAGCACCTCATCTGGATACAAAAAATTATGAGAGGTGGGCCCTCTATGGTGGTACAACAGGTTATATCAAAGTGCCCCAACACTGTCAGCAGCCACAGTGGCATGAGATCAATTCCCAGTCAGGGAGGTGACCTACACGGCACAGCAAACCTCTTGTGACCTGCCCACTGCTCTGCTCAGCAGGGTATTTTGGACAATCTGCCTGTTCTGCTCCCCACTATGTCTCTGGTGAATCCTCTCACTGCCCACACCCCTCCCACACACACAGACCTCTGTCCTGTACCCCAGTTCTGTATGCAAATAAATATTTTTTAAAGAATTTTAAAGAAATAAAACTATGAGAGGACAGTTTAGATGATTGCATTTAATTTCATCTACTGTCACTTTGTGATCACATACATAAAATCAGTTTGTATGACCATGCCTATTTTTCAGGAGTTATGTGACTTGCAGTGTTGTTTATCTCCATCAATCCCAGCAGGAGTGATACTAAGGTCAGGTCTATCCTGTAACAAGCACAGTAAGATCCTAGCATTTCTGCAGAAACACAAACAAGCATTCTGAGCATTTGGGTTAAAGGAAATGAGTTTGCCCTTCAAGGGCCATTGTTATACATCAACACCTGCTATTTATGTTTACATACAAGAACCTGAGTCTACGCGGCAAACGGGAACAGGAAATCCTTGCAGCATTTTCTAAAGGCAAATAAAAAGTAGACATTAAAATGTAAGGGGTTATTGAGCCTCCCTGGTGGCACAGAGGTTAAAGATATAATGCAACATGAGTTCAGTCCCTGGGAGCTGACCCACATGGCACATGGTCTGCTAGACCCCTGTGTCACACCCACTGCTCCCCTCAACAGTGTATTTCAGTGTATCTGCCTGCTCTGTTTCCCATTCTATTTCTGGTGAATCCTCTCTTCCCCCATACTTCTGGCCTACATTTCTGTTCTTGTATGCAAATAAATCTTTTTTAAAAATTAAGGGGGTTCAAATGCACTGGACTATGATGATGACACACGGGTTATTTGGTGATGGGAACCCCAGGGGATTACAACTGAGATGGAAAAATGCACAAAATGATGTAAAAATACTTTATTTACAATAGGAAAGACATGGAATCAACCCAAAGGCCCAAAAGTAGATGACTGGATTAAAAAGATGTGGTACATTTACACAATGGAATATTACTTAGCAATCAAAAAAGATAAACACATGCCTTTTGCAGCAACATAGATGGAGCTGGAAGGGATCATGTTTAGTGAAATAAGCCAGAAAGAAAAGGAAAAATGCTGGATGGTTTCACTCATAGCAGGAATATAAAGGATCCGGGGAGAAAATAATAATAATAATGAACAACTATATACTAGAGACATTTTACAGGGGTGGAGTGGGGAATGGGATAAATGATGGGGGCGGGGGAAAAGTGCACTGGACTATGGTGATGACACATGGGTGATTTGGTGATGGGAAGCCCACGGGGATTACAACTGAAATGGAAAATGGCACAAAATGATGTAAAAATAAACTATTATATATATTTTTAAAACTTGTATTATAAAAGAAAAAATATGTATCTTTTCAATCAAGATAAAATGGTGTAAGAAGATAGAAAAAAAAAGTTAAGGGGGTTCTTGTATGTGGCCATACAAGAAAATTACGCAGCAGGAAGTCAGCTCCTTTTTTACTGTCCCTATTTAAAGCCTCAATTATCTGAATGATTTCTTCGTTCTCATTTAGAGTGGCTTCCATGCCTATAGGAAGTAGGTGTTGAATTGTGGCCTGAAAGCTTGTTTTGAAGTAAGCTCTGTGGAGAAGAAGGGAGTTCAGATGATAGGGTTTGATGCATAGGATTCTTGGGACCTTCTGAGATAGAATTCAGTAGACACTCCCATTCATCAGCTAATTGTAAATTTATAAAAGAAAGAACAAGAAAAGAGAGATGCACACGTAGACATAAAACGGCAGTTTTAAAAGGCAAGAGCTGCAGTTTGCCAGGGCAAAGGATGTTGTTTTATAATGTTCTCTGAGGGAAATTTGTGGAAATTATCAACTTGGAGTAAGGTGGGTTGGTTTCCTAAGGCTGATAATCTCTGCCCCCACTTCTGATTGATAATCTTTTCTGATCCCACCTTAGATTCCTGGAAACTTCCATAGCCAGATTTAATCCAAGATTCATTAATCACCTACCCTCACCATGGTGTCTGTCCTGAGACTTTCTATCCTAAACTTTAAGTTTTCTACAATTCCACCTCCCCCTCTAGGTTCTTTAGTCTGGCAAACAATTAAATTAATGTCAGACAGATTGACAAAAGAAAAAAAATCAATTTAATAATAATAATATGCATATCACCTGAATATGTGGAAGAAAGCAATAAAAGTGAGTAACTCACCAGAGTGGCTTAAGTCATATCTTTAAATAAATAGACATAAGGACAAAGGATGTTGGGAAGCAAGAAGGGAAAGGTGAACTAAATCTCTGGGAAAGGCACAATTAACAAGGGCCTGATGTTTAAGCAGATTTAAACTGCAGGGCAACACCTCACAGAGGGAGCTTCCTTTAGGCAATGAATGTATCTTCTAAAAGAGCAACCTCCACCCAGCCGTCAGAGTCCCTTCTGTGAAATAATCCCATTCCAAAGAGCCACTTTTTGGAAATGGCAGATTATGTCCCTACAACTGTTAGCACAGAGACTAAGGGATACTCTGGGGCAGACAATAATGCAGGCTCTAAAGGGTCCTGCCATCCATGTGCACAAATATGACAGAGACTCTTAGCTTAAAAGTATTTTTTTTTAAGATTTATTTATTTCTGCATACAGTACTGGGGTACAGGCCAGAGGTGCAGAGGCGGTGAGAGGATTCACCAGAGACAGAATAGGGAACAGAACAGGCAGATTGATGAAGTACACTGCTGAGGAGAGCAGTGGGTAGGTCAGGAAAGGTCTGCCGCACCACATGGGTCACCTCCTGGGGCAGGGATTGAACTCATGCTGAAGTGGCTTTAGCTTCTTAGTGCTGTGCTTTTACCCGCTGTGCCACCAGGGAGGACCCGCTTAAATGTATTTTAATAGGATTAGTGTGCATAGAAAGAGAGGAAGAAATAACATTCCAAATAAAACACCCCAAATTACCCTCCCACTCCTGGGCAAATGACCAGCTATATAGGGGTGGTCTGAAGTGAGATGCGGAGGACTGAAAGGTTGAATGAGTCTAAGACACCTGCTGGTGGGGAATCATAAGAAAGGGGCAGAAGGGGGCAAGCAAGTCTGGGAGGAAAGGAACAAAAGCAAGGTACAAAAATGTCTGCCACACTCAGGCTTCCCATGTGTCTCTCACTGATGTAGTGGGGAGGAGAAGGAAGAAGAAGAACAAAGAGGAGAAGGTAGAGTGTCAAAGACAACCTCTGGGAAATACAATGAGAGCAGAGTAAATAAAATCACGTGAGGAAAGAGAACAAACTCTCAAGTCAGGAAAAGCACTTCATCTCATTGGATACTCAACAACCCCATGGAAAAGACAAGATCAGTGTGGTTATTCTCACTAAGCAAGGAGGAAGCTGAAGTTCAGCAAGACTGGAGGCTAGCAGCAGTTCCAGACATAGGCTGTGCCATCAGCGGCAGCAGAACACACTCGGGTCTGGCCTGGACTCAAGGCCAAGTGCAGCACTCTGCCTCTGTGGCCTGTCAGAAGAAGGAGAAACAGTTCATGATACCCATTATCAAGGTCATGGTAGAGGAGGAGCCAAAATCACATCCCAGCATTAGGGTACTGGAAAACCTGCCACCTTCAGAATTGGTGCCCCTACTGTGTCTTCACTGAGGTAATGGCAGTCAGAGTTGACTCTGAACAAGATCCTGAATGGCTGAGATTTTGCTTCAATGTCTAGACTGTTTTCATCGGCTGCCAACAAATTACCACAGACTCTGTGAGTTTAAACAACTCAGGAGACCAGAAGCCCCAAATCAAGGAGCACCAGGTAGAGTTCCCTAAGGAGACTCTTTCCTTGCCTCATCTAGGCAGCCACTGGCACTCTTGATTTGTCACATTATCCCAGTCTCGGCCTCTGTGGTGACAGAACTTCTTCTGTGTGTCCGTTCTCTTCACATCTCTTATAACAGTTTGTGATCCACCTGGATAATCCAGGATGATCGCATCTCAAGTCCCTTTTTCCAAATAAGGTCACATTCACAGGATCCAGGGGTTTGACATGGATAACTTTGGGGGACCATTTCCTAGCCCACCACAGCCCATGTACCCCATACCATTATAAGTTCCATCTTCCCCAATTCACCCAGGAATTGCCATTTCTCTGCTCCTACCATTCACCCCAGTCTTTTTATTAGCCCCCAAAAGTCTTCCCCTTGGGACATATGTTTCAAGAGACAAATCAAATAAATATATATATCTTAGTTGGACATATCCATAAAGCATACATGAACTCTTACTTTTGGAATTCCAACAGCAACACACCTACCTTTTATACAACTGATCACTTCCCAAAGAACATTCTGTGGAACAATTGTTCCTACATGATTTTTTTTTTCTACATTGAAAAATAAAAGTGTTTAATGTTCACATTAATTTGGGAGGTCCAGGTTAATATCAGAGTTATTTACAGATTAGAAGTATTTGGGATAAGAAGCTGTAACAGGCAGCATTTCTGAAATCAACTTGACCAGAGTCCTGCTGACCTGAGTATTTCAAGCAATTACAAGTGACCTCTAAGAAGCCAAAATTGACTATCTTCTCTAATGAGAAGAAGAAAATATTTCATTCTGGGCATTTCCTGCCAATAATAAGTCATTTTTTAAAAAGCATATATCATTTATTCAGTCACTTATCAATACTTACCAAAAAATCCACCCGACTTGTCTAGTTCAGGACAGGCCCACATAGTCACGTCACTCTGAGGAGAGCCTTGACCAGTTGCAATCTCGTTTGTCTTTGGTAGCCAGATTAGGGAACAAATCTGTAACAGTGATCCAAAAAACTAGAATCATGTCAATTTCTGATTCATTATAAATGAGTTTTAAACTGATTCTGTGTCTCTCCATCCACCCTCTAAAACATGTTTATGATTAGGATGATAGAGGAATTGCATGTACTCTAGCCACAAAGAACTAAATATATAAATAGGCTAAAGTGCAATGAACTTTGAAACTTAAATGTACTAATGTCATTGGCCATAAGTAGCCAGGCTATCTTAAGTTTCACAGTCAAAATGGTGGCAAGAAAAGAAAGGACATATAAAAACAAAAGAAAAGAAAACAAATTAAGTTCATTTTTCACTTGTTCACAAAGAGGTCTTACCTGAACTGAAACACCTTTGAACTCAGCAGGTACATTAAGGCATATTTAGGTCCTGTGCTCTCTCACAAATTATCTTCACAAGATTCTAGATCAGAATGAAGGTGAACTTTAGAGGGGAAATTTACCTGTGAGTTAGTGGTTGGAGTCTGGATGCTCTGTCCAGTATTTATGTCCAAGATGTGTAAACGCCCATCCTTCAATCCTCCTCCAATAGCAAGAACCGGAGACTGCCAGGGACACCAATCCATGGCCTTTAAAGTAGTAAATCATCACACTGGCAAGTCAACTTAGAGAAGGCAAAGTTGTGAGTGCAATGCTCTCTGGTAACTGAAGTCCCAGAGTTCTACACCCAGCATAGCTCTCCTGGGTCTCCAACCAAAGGCAGGAGCAACAGCCTCTCCAGTAATTAGTCCCCACGGACTATAAATCACGTCTGGAGAAGAAGGCACCTCAATAGGGCTCTTCCTCAAATTATGATAACAGTGTTAAATAACTAATACAGTTGCAAAACTACATTCAACACATCCTAAACAAAAGCTGTTGAGAAACACCACATGCAAAAGAATGAAACAAGGGCCTTCCCTGGTGCCATAACAGGTTAAAGCACAGCACTATGAAGCTATCGTCAGCCACTGCAGCACTAGTTTGATCCCTGGGCAGGGAGGTGACCCACATGGCACAGCAGACCTTTCCTGACATCCTGCTGCTCCCTTCAGCAGTATACTTCAGTACATCTGCCTGTTCTGCTCTCCACTCTGTCTCTTGTGGATCCTATCACCCCCCACACCTCTGGCCTGTACCCCCATTCTGCATGCATAAGTAAAAATAAATAAATCTTTGAAAAGCAAACAAAAAAAAAAAGAATGAAACAAAACCACTATCTAACAGAAATATAAAATATAATCTAAAGTAGGGTTAAAGACTGGATGTAAGACCAAACAAGGCCCTCCCTGGTGGCACAGCTGGTTAAAGCACAACACTGAGAAGCTAAAGCCACTTCAGCATGAGTTCAATTCCCGCCCCGGAGGTGATCCACATAGTGTGGCAGACCTCGCCGACTGCTCCCCTCAGCAGTGTATTTCATCAGTCAGCCTGTTCTGCTCCCCACTCTGTCTCTGGTGAATCCTTTCACCACTCCTATGCCTCTGGCCTGTACCCCAGTTCTGTATGCATAAATAAATAAATAAATAAACAATTGGAGAAGCTGAAGAGGGAAGGATGCCTGACCAGCCAATAAATGCTAGAGACCCAGCAAATTTAGTTTCAGTTGCTTTCTGACTGAGCTAAAATTATTAGTAATCATGTTCTTAAATACACTACTTCTAAATTTTGCCCAAGCTGTTTGTACAAAACTGGAAGCTCCACCATAAGCAGAATCATACAGAAGTCAACTCTAAAGTCCATTTCTGCTCTATCAGTTGGTTAGTGGTGGGAATTGTGAAGGGACATTAGTGACAATCCTTGCAATTCCCTAGGTATTAGCTGCCACAAGGGCTGGCTTGCTAAGATCCCAGGAACTTTCTCTCAGGTCAATTTATTGGATTTCTGTCAATGAGGCTTCTAAGATAAGTTTATTTGGCTAGGATTTTTCATGTTAGTAATTGGTTTTGCTTTACTTTGCTATTGTATTTTCTTTGCAGACAGTATGTTTTACATACATTTTCCCTAGATTTTTTTCACATCATTAGTAATGAAAATTTTGATCTAAAATCATTCTCAATATCTTATCAACTTAAAAACAACAAACCAGAGTTCCTGGGCCAGTACTACACAGTAGTAGAAAGAACTATACATTCTATACTATATTAATAAACTCCAGGGCTCTCCCTGGTGGTGCAACATGTAAGGATGCAACACTGCAAGCTGGCCGCAGCTGCTTCAGTGCCATTTCAGTCCCCGGCCCCGGAGGTGACCCACATGGCACAGCAGACCTCTCCTGTCTTGCCCGCTGCTCCCCTCAGCAGTGTACTTCGTCAATCTGCCCGTTCTGCCCCACTCTGTCTCTGATGAATCCTCTCACTGCCCCTGCACCTCTGGCCTGTACCCCAGTTCTGCATGCAGAAATAAATAAATCTTTAAAAAAAAAAAAGACTCCAAATAACTTTTAATCTCTTGTTCTAATAAATGTGCTTATAGTTATAGTTATTAAAGTAGAATTATTATTAGTTCTGTTAATGGGAAGGATGTCCTAAAGGAACTCTGCAGTCTTGTGGACTCCACCCCCTACTCCAGCTTTCTGGACTCTACTCCCTACTCCGGTGATTGAAAACTACAACTCCCAGAAGTACCAGGGAGAGAACTGCGAGGATCCAAGGGCAGAGGTAAGCAGGCATTCTGGGACATTGGGGGATAAATAGGACGCCATTTCATCTCTCTCTTTTGCTCGGGGAAACAGCTCTCTGGACCACATGACTCAGGGCTTTCAATTAGTTTGTTACCAGAACTCCAAGTCAGCTGAGGTGGTAAGATATTCCAGTTGTTTCCTTTTCTTTTCCCCTCTTGTAAATAAACCCATTTTGATGTTTTTGTGTGCGCCTGCAGTATAACTGAATTTTTTTTTTAAAGATTTATTTATTTGTACAGAACTGGGGTACAGGCCAGAGATGCGGAGGGTGAGAGGCTTCACCAGACACAGAGTGGGGAACAGAACAGGCAGATCGATGAAGTACACTGCTGAGGGGAGCAGCGGTGGGTCAGGAGAGGTCTGCCACGCCATGTGGTCACCTCCGGGGCAGGCGGGGATCGAACTCATGCAGGAGTGGCTTTAGCTTCTCAATGCAGTGCTTTAACCCACTGCGCCACCAGGGAGGGCCAGTATAACTGAATTTTAAGTGCACCGGTGAGGCACCACAGACAGGCGGCTCAGTTCACACTGGGGTGCCCTGTAACAGTTCTAGGAACAATAAATATCCTGGGACTATTTCGAGGCCAAGAAATACGTGACACTAAATCATCAAGGAATAAAAGCATGAACGTTTTTACCAGAATTAAAAAGTTGAAATAGAGAGAAATGAGAAATGATTGTGCAAACATGGGAGAGCACTGATTTACCTCTACAGCCGGCTCCTCAGCCTGCTGGTCGTGGCTCCCCTTTCTGGTGTGAGCTCACGGCCCAGGCCTGACCAGTCAATGTGCTTATCTCTCTGGCAGCAGTGATCAACCCAGAAATGAGAGCATGGCCAAAGCCATCCCAGAGCCAGCCCAGAGTCCTCACTGGGACTTTTCTACCAGTTATCAGGAAAGATGGTTTCGTAAGCAAATGCCATGTGGGAGAATCTGCATCTGAAATCGCCAAGAGCCATTATGCCCCCAAACAGAGTCTGACCAAAGAACGAAACTAAACAGAGACAGGCATAGCCAAGAGTCAAAGAGACAGGGCTCTGCAGACATTATCTAAGAACCTAGTCCCAGCCAATAGTTGCAAACAGCTGAATATAGCCAACTCTTCAAAGAGGAAAAAAAATTCATATATATATATATATATATATATATATGTATGTATGTATGTGTGTATGTGTGTATACGTATGTATACATATATTGTGTTGGGTTTTTATTGGGGGAGGTGCTTAAACTCAAGCTTAACTTTGGTTTCAATTACTCTCTACCAAAATCTGACACAAGAGCTATCATCCAGGAAAGTGATGGCAAAATCCAAAACAAAACTAAGGAAAGAAAAGCCCAAACTCTAGGCTTGATGTCTTTGTTTTTGTGTGGGAAGGACAACCAGTGGTCTCTGAGTAGAGGAGAATCGAGAGAGGTGTTGGGTTTATTACCTTGACTGCTGTAGATTGGGGTATAACTTTCAGGGGCTGAAGCTGTGCATTTGCTCCTGGGTCATGGGGCCACAGGGTCAACAACCCATCACTACAGCCACTGGCGAGCAGCCTGCCATCCGGGGACCACTTCAGGGCACTCACAGCCTGCTGGTGGCGAAGGGTTCCCACAAGGTGCTGGGCTGCCCGAACGTCGTGATGGTGCACACGGCCCAGCCTCGATCCGCTGCCAGAGGTAAAAGGGCAGGTGGAAGACCAAAATTTAACTTTTCTGGTTAAAAAGAAGCACATAGATTAAACCAGTAGGTTTCAAAATGGTGCAGCATCAGCATCATTTGGGAAATTAGAAATGCAAATTATGAGCACCCTTCAGCCCCACTGAGTCAGAAATTCCTGATAGTGGTGAGGCACCCGCCAGGTGACCATGATGCCTTCTCCAGTTTGAGAATCTCTGAACTGCTGGAGCTACAAGACCTCTGGGGTTGGGGGGTGCGGGGGGGGGGTGTCTCTGAGCTGGAAATGTATGCAGAAATTTTAATATAGCTCAAATTATCAGTACTTATGTTAATAAATATTTGATTCCAGCTCAATGTCTCTTTGGTAGGTATAACTTGCTACAGAGAAATTATTTGCTTAAAGAGTTTTACATTTTATCTGAACAAATTAGTGAACTTGACCTCACTCTCCAGTATGCACGCACTGGACGTACAGCCCACGCACGTGTGACCCTGTAGTATGAACATCCCCAGAAAACATGAACACCTATGTGGGTGAGGTCGGAGCTGACACTAAGTAATGTCCTGCTTTATTTCGGCAGGTGTTTTGTTTTTGTTTTTGTTTTTTGCATCTTAAAAGGGCAGGTTTATTAGGAAAAAGAGATGCCTGATGATACATAGAAAGACACCTGCCTTGATTTTGGTTTTGAGTTTGCCTTTAAGTGTTATAGCTCTATTCACTCATTCCCCATGGTCAACTGGTGACACAAGTAAAATTGGTCCCAACAGATGCTTCTTACCTGCTGAGGATACAGTGATTCCAGCTGAGAGCCCCAACTACAGACAAGTGACCCAGCATATTTCTCAGACGCTTTTTAGTGAGCACATCCCATAACTGAAACAATGAACAGGCAGTTACTTAGCATTGTTCTCTCCTTACAGCTTCAAGTATATTTCACTTAATACAGAGACTCTCCTTTATTCTAACATGCTGTTCAAAGTTAATTTTACTTATCTAGAAATTATACAGAGTACATGATTAGAAATTTTAAAAAGCTATTCCATACTTGCACTTCTCCATCACTGGTGCCAACAGCCAGACAGTTTCCCTCTTTAATCCAGGACACTGAAGATACATAGTTACAAGTGAGATTCAAGTCTATATTTTCAATCACACTGTGGTTTTCCCCATGCCAGATGTATACAGAAGATCCAAGGGCTATAGCAATAAGATTTTCAAAATTCCAATCTAGGATATTCAGATCTATAAGAAAAGTGTTTCAAATTAGGGTAATTGTATAACAAAATAAAATATTTTCAGTTCTTTCTATTGGTAAAGGAAAATGATACCTTCCCTGTAGTAACTGGAAAACAAAATCATTGATCCAAGCAGATCATTGGAAGTTAAAAATGGAAAGTAGAACAGACTCTGGTAACAACATTCACAGTCCACTAAGCAGTAACACTTACCACTCATGCTCAAATACTTAGTTAGAAGCTGTTAGAGAACTTCAAAGTCTCATCATTCCTTATTATTATACATAGATTTTATCTAACAGGTCACTAAAATTATTCTTATGGAGATATGCTCTGACTTAGGATATCCATGCCAAAAATTCTACCATCATTTCTACCCTAAAAAGCTACCAATTACAGTATATCTAGAAATGGTACTCATTGACTTACTTATGATACCTAAAAGTTCTTACTAATGTTCTTTAGCTCATACTCTATGTACTCTTTGACTGCTAAGGCTACATGTTAAATTCACCCTATTTTACTTCTTATAAGAAACTCCTATCGGTGCAACATTATGAGGCACACCATTTATTTCAATTAAATTGTCTAAGCCCCTGAAAACTATCTCTCTCACTAATGATACTACAAACCCTGAATAAAATACCAAGAACAAATACTTGGCACTCTGGAAAATATGTAAAATCAGATAAAATAAGTTGGGTAATCAAAACTTGGAGACACTGACTGGTAACTACACTTACTGTGGCAATTGTTTCACAGTACATACAGATATCAAAGCATTATGTTGCATACCTAAAACCAATAAAATGTGATTTGTTAATTATATCTCAATATAAAGTTTTCTTTTAAAAAATATTTGAAGAAACAACCAGCTTAAGGGTGAGTTTCCCACTGTTTTCACAGATGGCTTTGCCCTGAGGGTGGAACCAACAATGAAAATGATAGACCTGAAAGATGTCTTGCAGAAGGCACCTTCCTGGCTAAAAGAAACAGGAAAAAGTAGCTGTGGTGGTTGAATCCAAGAGTGAAGAGAGCCAGAAAAAGGCATCTTGTATTGTGAGTGTATGAACCCACACACACCTCAGTCTGACTTCTAAATCATGAAAACAGGATATGAACTCAGATCAGCTTAGCAAAGCTTCTGTGAATTGAACCAATATTTGAAACACCAACAGAGTTTCAACCTAGACTATGGTCCAAACAGAACATTGATTAACCAACATCCTGCCTTTTTTAACACTGTTGACATCACTGAAATGTTCTCTCTTCTCCCCTCGAACACTTAGAAGTTAAACTGTTAATACCAGCTTAAGTCTGAATAACTCTGTGAAGTCTTTCTGGACAACTCCAAAGACCATTGATCTCCTATAGTCCTAGAGTTCCTTAGACCCTAAATTTATTATTGAAATTATACATTGGCAAAATGGTGGATCCATGTGGGATAAGACTGTCTTCCCAACTATCTAGATTATAAACTAGACATGTAACAAGATGAAGCAATGTGATTTACCCATGTGTAGAATCTACATAAGAACAGGCCACCATTTGTACAGTTCATTCTCATACAGTTAAGCAAATTGTGTATTCTTCACATCCCACCAGCAACAACAGTTGCTAATGTGAAAACTGCACAAGGGAAAAACAACTATAGTAATAATACTTGAGGTTCAACTATCTGAACAAAAAGCACAAGATACGTTGGTTTTCCAAGAATTGAATTTCAAGTTTATGGCTGAGTACAGAAAGCATTTTGTCATTCAGTTTTTAAATTCACAATCTAAATAATAACTTACAGTAGTCATTTCGAAGGCCACTGAGATGAATCTTCACCTCTGGTTGGTATATGGAGTAGTTTGTATCACTGCACCTTTTAAGATGGAAGGTCTCGTCTCTGCCTCCATCTCTACAGCCTGTAAGAAACAAACAGTTCTATATATTGCTGTGATCCTGTAAACATAATATTTATCCTTGCAGCATTAAAAGAAAATGGAATGAAAAAGGATGAGTCATCCTGATCCTAATAAAACTGAATTAGAAATTGTAGAAGGAGGAAAGGGGAAAAGAAGACATAGGAATTAAACAAATATATTTTTATACTTGTAAAAATAGAAATGGCATTTTCTAATAAAAAGCACATAAATGTCAGGGTGGTAATTTTGAAAGTAATTTTTTAATTATATTTTTTTAAATGAAAGCAATTTTTGCATATCAACGTATATATGTATCTATTGAGTCAACAATTAAGATAAATTTAACCCCCATTTGAGTCTTTTGTTGATTCATTGATTCTGCTCTCTCACTCTATACTAGCACACACAGGCATTTTTAGCTTGTCTTTCCCATGACTAGCTGAGGTCAGGGTTATAGATTGAGCTTGGCTTTAATTCTCATCAAAGACCCCAATTAGTCTAAACCACAAGCCGCTGTTTTTTATATCTTAAACCACTCTGCTTATGGTTGACAGGAAGTGAGCCCACCCACAGAACTTGTGGCCTCTGTGACCAGATGGCTTTGACAAAAGCACACAGCATCACAGCAAGCGGTCAGGTTGTCACTCAGAGCCTCAGTGTCAGCTCTGAAGACCTGCAGTTGTAGCGGTACTGCAAAGTTACTAAAAATGAACGAGGAGGTCAGGTTGGGTGGGCAGTTGTCAGGCTGAGACTGCCTCAACTTGGTGGAAAACTGTATGTTCAGAAAACCAACACAATTCTGGAGAAATGGCCAAAAGCTCATTCTGGGAAAACAGAATTAATAATGCCCAGTGGGTTTATACCAATCAACAGGGGACACAGCGCAGAGGTACCTAAGCCCCAGCCCGCTCTCCACAGTCATATAAACTCCTGTTTCTTGGTTCTTTGGCAGCTGCTCACTAAGGACCCTTTTCTGTTTAGAAAGCTTTCCTGTCCTCTTCTTGTCTGATAATAAATCTCTTGCTGTTCTAACTCTGGTCTCAAGGTTGGATTCTTTCCTCCCTGGGACAATAACAAGTCTGCCTCCCAGACTTTTGTTGATTCACTGATGCTGCTCTCTCACCAGTGCACACAGGCACTTTTTTCTTGTCTAACCCATGACTAGCTGTCTGACCAAGTCTGACTTAATACCACTTGCATTACTATTTCCCAAAATTAGATACTTAGGTATAAATCTAACAAATAAGTACAAGACCTATATGGAGAAAACTATAAAATGTGAATCAAAGAAAAGCTGAATAGATGGAGATCCAGGTATAGTATTATTAAGCTCCCGTTCTTCCCACTTGACTGATAGTCAATCAGTTGCAGTTAACAATTGCAAATTAAACAATCAATTGTTTGTTTTGTTCTTTCTCAACCACATTTACCTTTTATATTGAAAATAGACAGTTATATCTTTCTGCAGCCCATATTACAAATTAAAGATTCACTAATGCCACTATTATTGCCGGTAGAATACTTTAAAATTCAGTCAGTGAGACATATTACCGCTGACATTTGCCTCAAACATCTATGTACATTGAAAAATATACAAAAGATTGGGAACCAGTGCTGCATCCTAACCCACTGTCCATCAGGGAGGACCCTAAAGAGATAAATCTTTAAAAAAAAAGAAAGAAAGAAAGAAAATAGGTGTAAAAACAGAGTGAAGAGGGTAGCTGAAATGCTAGGAATGGTTACCTCTAGAAAATCACACTTGGGAATAGTAGATGGTTAAGTCAGAGAATTAGGATAATTATCTAAATTTTACATTATGTTGATTTAGTGAAAATAAAAAATATATATATTTTAAGATGAAGATTAAATAAAGGAGGCAGGGAGAGAGGAGACTAGGGAGAAGAAGCCAAGCAGAAAATCTTTGGCCCATACCTCTCCAGCAGCAGTGGGATCGCTCACAAAACTGCAGGTGTTCACTCTCCTGATGAGCCACCTTCTGGGTTGAAAATAACTGGCTTGGGCATTTCTGAACACAAGCACATGTAGAGAATGCTTCCTTAGAAATATGTATGTACATCTCAGATGTTGCCTGATATAGAGCTGAAGTTGGTAATTCATTCAACGATCCCACATTATCAAAACCTGCTGTTATGAAGTTCACAATAATGACTACTATTGATTAATTAACCTTCATTTAATAAACAGCCTGAGCATTGTAAGTATATTACTTTAATCTCACCAACCACTCCATAGGACAGATATTGCAGCTAGAATAAAATCCTCTTTTATTCTACTGGCCTAAAATTCCTTTTAGTCAACAATTCAATCATAAGTTGGTGCTATCATCAAAGTCTCCAAAAACTGAAATGATATATTTAGCACTTTCTGAAATTAAAAAACTGCCTCCAAATAATAAAGTTGAGTATTAGTAGGCTGCTTTTCGAAAGAACTTCTCTTGGGGGTGACTCTCAGTATTCAACCCAAAACTCAGCATTCTTAGTTTGCTTTGGGCCTCAAGTTTGTTCATCTGTAATATGATGGGACTGAACTAATCATCTTAAAGTCTATTTTCTATTATTGTTTTACTCATTAGAGATGGAGAGATCTCAAGTAACTGACCTGAATTTCTATGAAGACAAAAATGATTGCATTGGTGCTCAATTGTATTTGCATTAAGATAAATAAGATTTATATTCACAATGCTATATTGTTCCTCTGCAAGGTATATATGCCAACACAGAAGGAGGCATAGAGAAAGTGAGTACTTTTGCCTAACTTGAAAATGTGTCACTTTCCTAGTTCAAAGATTTCTAAATGACACATTGATCCCCTTAGAGATTGTTCATTGAACTTTATAAATCTGAAAGCATACATTTAATCCACCCAAAAGATTTAGGGAAGATTCTTAAGATCTTAAAGCCATAAGAAATAAAGGATATCTACAGTAACTAAGGGAACTTGGTGAAGAAATAAACAACAGACATAGGGAAATATTTAGAAGACCATCTTACAGAGAAAGAATTGAACTTATCCTGAGAAATCCAAGTCACTGAGAAATCCAAGTTAAATATGACTGCAAGAGATCTTTTGGTTGAGAGAGAACACAGCATAGTATGTATAATTTCATTAGAATTTTCAACTGTAATTTTTTGATGATTCTCATTTTTACTTGTTTTGATTGATACTAATTAAACTTTCTTGTATATTTGTCAGATATTTTACTTCTTATAAAAAATGCCTCTATATATGTCTTTCATTCACATTTTTTTTCTCCCAGGAATTCATGGTTTTCTCATAAATTTGTAAGAGCAGCTAAGCCACCTCTTTCTTCACACTTGGACACAGTGATCTGAGCTTATGAAGACATGAGTTCAATTTTCTCTCTTTTCTTACCTGACTTTTTGAGGCAATGATTCCCTTCCAACCTCCTTCTTGAATGTGAGGTCCTTTGCAAAATGCGAGGGCAGAATTATCCATATCAAAACTTCCTTTGATGGGGGTCTTTGGTGGTTCTTTGTAGGATTTGGGAGAGGAGGAAGAAAAACATTTAGCTGTGTTTGATTTCTAAAGCAAGAATCACTTTAACTGGAGGTCTGTCATTATGTCTTTTGCATGAGACAGAGTGTGCAAACATGGGCCCTGTGTCTCCAAAATCCTGGGGGAACAACAGAACAGGGTCCAATTCAAAGCATTGGGTTCAGAACTCCTTCATTGACCTTGAGAGCCAAAAAGAAAAGCCAAGACTAAAGCCCTTGACTGGCAACTGCAATAGCAATAGAATACTTTATATCTGCATGAAAAGAACAAGTCCACACATTTCACACTTGAAGAATAGAAACAAACCATTTAATAGTATAAAACCATGGTTCAAAGAGTACCTGGTTTGCTCCAGCTAGGATCTTCCCACTAGGAATTCACTATGGGATGTTGCTTGATATTCAGATTATTGATACACATTTACTACACGTTCATTAGCAAACCAGTTTGCCTCCCCCTCTTCCTCTTGCAGAAAGATAAGAATAGTCTGAGATGATGTCAGTGAAATACTCTCTCAGTTAATACTTTCTCATAGATGAGCCAGTGTTTCTTTGCAGCATGATTATTCACCTCTCTTCTCTTCTGAAGCTTAAGAGAAAGCCCTTTAACCAGACTTTTAGCCTTACTGAAAGCCTTGTCATTTCACTTGTTCAGCTTGTTTCAGGGGCCACTGGAAAACTTTGCCTTTGCCATCTGGCAATCTTTCTTCATTTGGACAAACATGGGTTTGATAAACTGTCACTAATGTTCCTAAAGTCCAAATCATCAAGTCTGGGATTGTCCAAAATCTAAGAAATATACATGACATCAAGGGAGGAAGGAAGAAGCAAACATGAAATATTCTGTTATTCTATATAGTTTTAGATTTTCTGTTTATCCTGGAGAAGTTTGCATACTTGTCTTATTGTATTAATTGTAGACAAGTGTAGAAAAGAAGCCAGCTCTCAGAACTTCAAAGAAGAAGGAAAAAGTGGCAATCAGACATTAGTGCTGATAATTATCCCAGTTATCAACACAGGTCCACTAGCCTAAGGCAGTAGGGGCCTCTCAGGTCCTGTCCATGGGGTGTGACTGCACAAGAACCTCTGCACATTGAGGATCTGTGTTCACTCTTCTGGAACAAAAACAAAGACCACCTCCAGCAAAGCACTGAGAAAACTACATCCCTGATTATTACTAAGCATTAGAATTCACTTAAGTGGGAAATACACTTGCTTGTAAAATTCCATTTACAGATAATTTCTTATGCAATGCTCACTTTCTAAAAACTAAATAATTAACTGTTATAAAATTAAAAAAAAACATTAAAATGAAAAAAAAACCTAATAAATTAATTTAGGGCCTAGGAAGGAAAAGGGAAGCCCTAGTTTTAGTCAGAAATCCCTCTAAATCCATCAGCATAAGAATTGCCTCTTCAGGGACTTCTCTGGTGGCACAATGGGATAAAGCACAGCAGAAGTCACTTCAGCATGAGTTGGATCCCAGCCCCGGAGGTGACCCACATGGCTCAACAGACCTCTCCCGTCTCACCTGCTGATGTACTCCATCGATCTGCCTGTTCAGCTCCCCACTCTGTCTCTGTTGAATCCTCTCACCATCACTCCCCCCTGTACCTCTGGCCTGTACCCCAGTTCTGTATGCATAAATGAATAAATCTTTAAAATTAAAAAAAAAATCGCCTCTTCAGTTATGAGATACAAGTTTTTTTTTTAGAAGAGACTAGGATCTTTCCTATATCCCAATACCTCCTACTGCTTCCTGCATTCAACCCTATTGGTAATTTCGTTGGTTTAAAACTGATGTGGGCTCCCTCTATCTGCAAGATTAGAGCCCCTCATTGTATCCAGTGTCACCAAGAAAAAAATTGGCACTATTGCTGACTTCTGTCTTTAACATGTTGATAAATCAATGAGTTATGTTGCCTAGGATTTTTAGAGAACAGAAATTAAGTGACTAGGTGATATGTAGTAAGCTTTGCATTTGAAAGATGGAAATTAAAAAGGCTGTGCCCACATGAGAATTAAATACTCTAGTAAGAGAGCTTGTGTTTCAGGGGCCTGATTGGTTGATCCTGGACGCCTGCCCCCAGGTCAGGACTGGTGCCCATTCCCCATCCCTACCCAGGCACGGATCAAACTCTCTCACTGTCATCTTTTCTTTTTTTCCCTCCCCTCTCTTCTTGACTCTCTTCTCATTCTCTTCTTTCCTCCTTTTTTTCTCTCTGGCCCTCCCTTCCCCCCAACTCCCAAATCCTCTCCTCTTCCTTCCTTTTACTTTCTCTTCTCCTCATCCTCTCTTGCTTTCATACTTTTCTTCTCCTGCTTCATACTTGATTATTTCATCATCATTTTCCTGACTATCAAGAACCATGAATCTTATCAGAGTTATTAAAAATCTATATTTTGCTGAGAGAAAAGCAGTTGACTGAATGTGACCCTGGATATTACTCAGACAAACATCTCAGGAATATATCCTCTTTTTTTTTTTTTTTTTTAGCATTTCAAACTGGCCTATGGCATACCTACAACCTCACCTAGAATCAAGATCTCTTTCTCAAGTGGTATCTTCAGCACAGATGTAGAAGCTTCTAGAAGGTCAGTGGTCAAATGCTCTTCCCCAAAGGAATAGGCTGCCAAGTCCCTTGTTTGGTTTTGCTGCCATCTTGTGGTAACTGGGCTGCTGGCAAGAGGAAACTCAGCCGACAGCCTCTTCACGAAGTTGCTCTTAAAGTTAGAATATGTAGTCGTAACTGCATCAAATGCCTATTTAACAAGGAAAAGAGCTGTAATTCATAGTAGACTCAATAATGCAAAATTAAAAATGCCGTAAATAGAATTATGAACCACTCTTCTAGCACAAGGTGATAGATAGTTGGATGGGTGGGTGAGTGAGTGGGAGGATGGATAGATAAGTAGATAGATGAAGATGTAGTTATTCTTATGGCTATTAGTATTGCATATAATCATAAAATATGGAGTTAAACTAATCCTATATACTGAATACACAAGGTATCTAGATAAAAATAAAAATTCAAATCTGGAAATAAACAGTGATTTGTTAGTCAACCCCTTCATGTCACAAATGGGAAAACCGATACCTAACTCACTCAATAACTGTCCACACCCTCTGAGAAACTCCAGGAGTTTGGTAAGTTCATATGTTATACTAGCAAGCCACGTCATGCAGCATGTAACAGTAAAATGCAAGTGACAGAAAATGAAATTAACAAAATGACAGTTTCTTACAGAAATTTAGATTAGTTTAACAATCAAGTAGAAAAATGTACATAGGACATAAAAAAGCAGTTCACAAGAGATATATAAAAGCCCTCCCCAAATATTCAACTTTACTGGGAATTATAAAATATATACATTTAAGAGTTTAATGAGATGTTAACAATGATTTTTTTTTCAAAGATTTATTTATTTATTTGTACAGAACTGGGGTACAGGTCAGAGATGCAGAGGGCGAGAGGATTCAACAGAGAGAGAGTGGGGAGCACAACAGGCAGATCAACGAAGTGTACTGCTGAGGGGAGCAGCGGGCGGGTCAGGAGAGATCTACCACGCCATGTGGGTTTCCTCCGGGGCAGGCGGGAATCGAACTCATGCGGAAGTGGTCTAAGCTTCTTTGTGCTGTGCTTTAACCCGCTGCGCCACCAGGGAGGGCCTAACAATGATTTTTTTTTAATGACAATCCCTAATATTGAAGATTCTGAAAGCAAACACTGGTATATGCTGCTGATGGATGTAAATTGGTTTTCAGAAAGGACAATTTATCAATGTGCATGAAGTCTTCAGATGTGTGTATAAACTCTATTGACCCAGCAGGTCAAGGATGTGGACAGAAATTAATAGAACCATCTAGCATTCCTGAGGCCTTATCACATCCATGGCTGTGTGTTAAGGGCCTTAAACATACTGATATTTAATCCTAGGAAACACCTTATGAAGCAAATCTGTTATTTATTCCCACTTTACCGTTGAGGAACTTGTTGTTTGGGGTTTAGGGGATTTTCTTAGGCCCCCCCGGTATTACTTATAGATGCTATAGCCTAATATCATCTGTCTGACTTCAGTTCTGTACTCCGTTGAGAATATGATGGACACACGGCAGTATTTGCCAATGGGAAATTAACTAGATAAACTATATTCAATAAAAGGGAATAGTCTGTAGCCATTAGAAATGATGACATACATTAGGGAAATGCAAATAAATAACAAGTGTTGACAGCTGTATGGAAAAATTAGAGCCTTTGTACACTGTTGGTAGGAATGTAAAATGGTATGGCTGGTATAGAAAACAATTTGCTAGTCCCTCAAAAATGTAAAACTGAAGTTACATAGGACTCCCAAAGATTTAATGTAACATCTTCAGGAGAAATGAGTAGAGGTCCTCAAATTCAAGCACAGGTACATGAATGCTCATAGAAGCACTAATCAAATAGCCAAAATGTCTGCCAACAGATAAGTGGACAAATTGAGGGATAAGCAGTGGATCCAGGATTCAAGCCACTGCATTCCATTGTCACAGTGTTTATGAATGGCGCCCCTGAAGCATGCAGCCCACAACCTCAGAGCAACCCAGTTCTGTTCAACCCTGTTTGAACTCACAAATTGATCCAGCCCCTGTGCTTTTAAATACCTCTGTTCATGCTGTGGGCTGAATGTCTGTGCTCCCTCAAAATTCATGTTGAAATCCTAACCCCAAAAGTGATGGAACTGGCACAGCAGACCTCTCCTGTCCCACCAAATGGACTAAGTTCACATTCCACTTTTCTAATTATTATTTCTCCTTTACTATTTTCTACTATATCATAAATTGCTTAAGACCAAGGACTTTGTCTTTTATATTACTATCCCCACAGAATAGAACATATACTGGCATTCAGCAGATTTGTAACGAATGATCCTCTTCCCCTAAAGGCAATTAGTAAAAGGGCACAAACTTAATATCCCTGAGCAGTGCTGGGCACACAGACCTAAGGCCCCCACTTGCTGGCTGAGCCTCATCCTTACCGTGGAGCCTCCAGTAACCTCGTCAGAGTTTATTTTTATGGCAGCTAAGATGCTTATGATGCTGAAATAAACTAGGGTTCTGACCTGAAAAATAATTTTTTTAAAAAAGATACAACAGATGTAAGAGAAAGGCAAGGAAATAAACTATTTTCTTTCTTTCTCCTCCATTAAGAAGAATGATTTTCAAATTCCACAGGGGTATAATCAACATTTCTGAGGAAACGGAAGAGTCATGTAAGTTAAACAATACTTATGTATCTGGGCATTTAAAATACATCCAAGCCTCTAGGGCCAAATAACTGAAACCTCAAAGCACTGACAACACTTCCAGACCCATACTGGTTAGTGACCTATGGAAAATACATGACAAGTGAGAAAAACATCACCCAAAGTTATATAAACAAATTATTTTCATGGTTTTCCGAGGAAGAATAAGTAAAAAGAAGCCATTTGTTAGCAGGGCCCCTGTTGGAAAAGTCTTACTGGATCTGTGTTAGCCCAAATTCCCAGCTGAGCTTGTTTCCTTGTGTTATTCAACATGTAATCAGTAACTTACCAAAATCACTTATCCTCAGTTGAGAAGGTAGTTAACATACCAAAACAAAAATGGGACTCAGAAAAAATCTGGGACAGGAGCGCAATCAGCACAATTAAATTTAATAAGGATACATGAAAAAATCTTCCCATTTAGATGTTTTGCCATTGCACAGGCATAACATGAGAAAGAGCCCAAAGGGAGTGAAAATGACTGGAATATTAAACCACCACCAGAATATGAGTCAACAGTGGAATGCAATTTTTTTTTAAGCAGTATAATGTCAGGTCTCATCAAGGGAAAAAGTGTCCAAAGCAAGGGCAAGCAAAACCCAGCTGATGCTATGCTGGTGAGAATTCATCTGGAGAACTTTGTCTAGTCTCAGAAGACTCTTTTAAGGAGAGAGAAAAGTCTGGATTCAAAACCTGAATTTATTTAGAGGAATTTATATGTAAACAGGCAATCAAGGAAAGAAAAGTAATGAAGCAACTTGTGATGGAGTGTGGATACCCCAGGTATTTATCATAGAGGAAAGAAGACTGAAGAAACTGCCCCCCAATATTTAAAGAAAGGCAATTTTGGGGAGGTGGGAGATTATCTTGTATTGCTCCTTATGTCAAAAAACTAGGAAGAGACTTTTTTAAGATTTATTTATTTATGCATGCAGAACCAGAGGTGCAGGGGCGGTGAGAGGACTCCTCAGAGACAGAGTGGGGAGCAGAACAGTCAGATCTACTGAAATACACTGCTGAGGGGAGCAGCAGGTGAGACAGGAGAAATCTGCCTGACCACGTAGGTTACCTCCCTGGCTGGGGATGGAACCCACACTGAAGCACCCATGGCTGGCTTCAGAGTGCTGTGCTGTAAAGGTGCCCAAGAAAAATTTTTATTAAATACAAAAAAATTTCAAAGAGTTAGAATACAATTTTCCATAGCATTTTAACACCAAATTCAGTTCTCAATCAACCTCTCCACTAGGAGCTTGTGGTTTGCAGCCATACAGATGAGCTTTGTTGCAATAGTTAATGCATTTCAATGCATATTTTTACATGTTTATAAATTATCAGGGTTGTCATAATATTTTCCCTTATAAAAGCCATTTTGAATACAAGAAATGAGTCCATTTGCACACAAAAATGTTAAGGAGCTAACAGATGGTGTGCAGATGTGGCAGAAGTCACAGAGGAGATATTTGCATGCCAATGACTCCAGCCTAGAAACACTGCAGTAGATTCGATATTTCATCTTCGGTGTTTTTGAACTTCTGTTCCAGGACCTATCTCCTGCTGAGGAAATGCCTGTCGCATACTTTTAAATGACTCAAGTATTTATTAATAGAAAGGAAGAGGACGATAGGAAAAATAAGACAAAGAAGGGAAAAGGGATGAATGGCTCGATCCTCTAAGCACATCAATTTGGCTTGTTTTTCTTTAAGTTCACATCATATTGACACTAAATCGGGAGGAAATCAGAGCACCAGAGCCAAAAAATAAATAGAAAGGAACCCAGAGGAGTTAAAAATAAGATGAGGAAGTAGCAAAATGAAACAACTGGGGAAAGAGAAACAAACATATATCTAGTGATAAATAATCTGACACACAAATATTCAGTGGGTGGGAAAAACCGCAACATTCCGGGAAAGACAAGCTGGTGATCCCAGGGTCTTTGCAGAAAAGACCCTGATGTTAGACACCAAAGCAACAAGGTGGCCCATCACCCTGGGCACATCCTCCCAGGCCCCTTCCCTCACCTCTAAAGTCGGCCCATACCCACCAGCACAATGCAGCAGCCTTCTGCCCCACCGCTATTTCACATTTAGGATCTCAATATTATTTCAAATTCACCAAAACCAAAATTGTCATCTTTACATTTTTGACCCTCCAGTGCCTCCTCATTGTCCCATTGGACTATATAATCAAGTAAAATCCTTTAAGATCATTTTCAGGTAGATGTTTCTGGAGCCTTATTCACTCTCCATTGCCAGTGTCCACCACTAGACAACTTCAGTGTTCTCTAAGTTCATTTACATGTGGAATCTAATAAAAATGGAGCTCACAGATACAAAGAACAGACGGAATAGGTGGCAAAGCGAAATGGGAGAAATGAGTTTAAAAGTATAACTTCCCAGCTATAAAATAAATAAGTCGTGGCATATATGTACTCAAGGGACAATAGTTAATAATACTATAGTGGATTTTTGAAAACTGCTAAGAGAATAGATCTTAAGAGTTTTCATCACAAGAAAAAAAAAGCTGTAAGTATGTATGTATGGTGGTTGATGGTAACTACTTTTGTGATAATCATTTCCCAATATATTCAAATCTTAATCATTTGTACATCTGAAACTAATATAGGTCAAGTGTACCTAATGTTTTTAAGTAAAGAAAGAAACAATACAACAAATGATATGAATTTTTTGTTCTTTACTAGATAATATGTTTGGAGGACAATACTTTCTACATAATCTTTTTTTTTTCCTATTGTATCCATTCTTATCAGACCTTAGAAATGGGAATGAACTGCTTTCTCCTTCTCTGATGGGTTTTACATGTCTAATTTTTGCTTAGCAACTCCCAACTGCATACCACAGAAGCAGTAGCCAGAAATAGGGACCAGAGTCCTTAGCACATCTTCTAAAGCTCCAAAAATCTAATATTGCTAGGCAGTATATAGCTCCTCAGATCATTCCTAGCACTTTCTGGAAACACATCATAATATTAACAGTCAGGCCCAAGCAGGGCGAAACACCTTGATTCAAAACTCTCCGTGTGTCCTAAACAAGGAAAATTCTATGGCTACTAAAAGAAGATAGCCCTCAAATCCTTCTCCATTTGAAATTTCCTAAAATTTTCAACAGTGAAGTTAAAAGGCAACAGCCAGAGGAAACATAAAGATGAAAGGTGAAAACAACTGCATGATACACTTAAGCAGTGTAGCTTTAAGAAATTTTGCTTCTGCTCTTCTGTAGAATTTTTTTGGTCAAATTACTGCTGTATGATAGAGTTCAGTATTTTCTCCTAACAGGTTGCTTCTGATCAGGAAATCTTTATCATTTGCATGAGTCAAAATAAAACTGATTAAAAACTGTAATAGTCTGGGGTGCATTGCATTTCAGAAAGGAATACAGTCTAATGAAATTTCTTGGTATATGTGTCTGAGTCTGCTCATATTGAGTTATATTGTAAAGTGTGCTTTTTACAGTGGGTCATGATCAAAAATTTGAAAAATACTGGCCTATCATTTCCTTTATGATAAAAAGAGGATTTTTAAAGCTTTTTTTTTTTTAATTTTTACCATCCCTATAGTAAGTAGCCTTTTCAAATACTTCATTACTGTTTTCACTATAAATTCCTTAAACTCATGCACATAACAGTAAATTCCATCTGGTTCTCTATCAGACACTTAGATGATGCTTTGATCTGTACTCTGAACTATTCCTGGTCAGTAGGTACAACGAATTGCTTGAGTATTCTTCATGGTTTTTCAAATTACAAGGGCACCATCTTCTGGTGAAATTTTTGTTTGTTTGTTTGGAGGGTGTTAAAGAGTTACCAGTTTAAGGGAGTTAAATTTTCCAGCAAAAATTGCAGCTGATTGGCCCTCCCTGGTGGCGCAGTGGGTTAAGCACTGCACTAAGAAGCTTAAGCCACTTCCGCATGAGTTCGATCCCTGCCTGCCCCGGAGGTGACCACATGGCGTGGCAGACCTCTCCTGAGCCACCCACTGCTCCCCTCAGCAGTGTACTTCGTGGATCTGCCTGTACACTTAAGCAGTGTAGCTTTAAGAAATTTTGCTTCTGCTCTTCTGTAGAATTTTTTTGGTCAAATTACTGCTGTATGATAGAGTTCAGTATTT